TGTTTTTCAGAGATTGAGGGGCCAGGGACAGGTGTGGCTACAAAGTGGTAGCATGAAGAAGCCTTGTGGTGATGGAACATTTATGTATCTTGATTGTGGTGGTGGTTACATGAATTGATGCATGTAATAAAACTGTATAGAAATACACACACACACACACACATAAATGAGTGCATGTAAAACTAGGAAGGCTTAATAAACAATGTGTATTGTACCAATGTCAGTTCCTCGGTTTTGATACTGTACTATAGTTCTGCAACCTATTACCTTTGAGGGATGCTGGATGAAGAGTACATGGGACCTTCCTGTACATTTTTTTAACCTTCTTGTGTATCTATAACGATTTCAAAATAAAAAGTTAAAAATATTTTTAAATATTAAACAAAATTTTGGCTAAAACTCATATTTGTAACTCATCTTCTTTGCCTCTGTCACACACCACACATTCAGTCCTTTGGTTCTTTTAGTTCCCGCCCTGCAAAGTACCTCTGAACTAATCTTGCATTGATCTTTTCACTCTCCTTGCAAAGTAGACATATTTAGAAACATAGAAAAATTGCCTTTTAAAAATGATTTGTAAGAATCAGAGTTTGCTAACCGTGGCTACAATAAATCAAATTGGTAGGTGACAAATTATACCCTACAGTAATGACTTGTAGATAACTAAGGGATTACCCATTTCTCAAAGAAAAATGAACAATGTGTTTATACTCGCAGTGCAAAAATTCTGTGTAGCTTATTTTGTCTTGTTGCTGAGTGGGAAAAGGGATGGAATGACACAGAAGCAGTGAATCTGAAAGTTTATTTTTTTTTTTCCTAGAACGTAGCTAACAAGGGGCAGTGTGTGGTATTGGTACTGGTCCAAAGAAAGCTCATATAAGTGATATTTAATTCAACAAGACAAATACACCTTCAATAACAAAATGTATTTACAAAAGTTTTTGGATATGATAAACACAGTTTCCGTGACAAAATCCAGTAGTGTGTCATAAAACCAAAAAAACCAAACCCATTGGGGTTGAGTCAATTATGACTCATAGCGACCCCAATAGGTCAGTTTCCAAGGCTGTAAATCTTTATGGAAACAGACTGCCACATCTTTCTCCTGCAGAGAGGGCTAGTGGGTTGGATCTGCAAACCCTTGACCTTTTGGTTAGCAAGCTGAATGCTTTACCACTGCACCACCATAGACTCAAGCAAATTAAGCAATACCAGTTTTGCCATATGTACAGGCATATTTACTAATTTCAATATTCTTAGAAAAACAGCTTGCATTTAAATCAAGATATTATTAATTTCATGAAGTAAATAATCTCTAAATTCAATAGCTCTTATTTTTATAACAATGTGGT